TGTTGGGATTCCATCATGTTCCTCAGATCCTCTATTGTTTTATCTGTGTCCTCTCTAGATTTATTAATCATATCTTGCACTCTGAGCACAATCTTTGCTGTTATCTGAGTAATTATTTCTGATTTCAGTTTTCCCAGATCTTCTTTTGTTGCCAGTTCAGAGAGTCCAGGTGGTTGAGTATCAGATTGTTCCATCTCATTTCCATTTGGGTTTGCTGTAGTGATCCAGAAGTCTGTTTTTGAGGCTTGTCTTCTCATTTCCATGGTGGGAGGGGGTGGTGCTTCTGGCACCTGCATGGCTCACCTTCTCTGCCCTAGGAGCATGGGATGATGGTGGAGGAGCCTCTTCCTGTGCACTGGGATTGGCTCACCTTCTCTGTCCTAGGAGCATGGAATGGAGGCAGGGGAGCCTCTTCCTGGGCACTGGGATTGGCTCAACTTCTCTTCTCTAGGAGCTTGGAATGGTGGCAGGGGAGCTTCCTTCTGGGTGCTGGGACAGGCTCACCTTCTCTGCCTCAGGAGTGTGGGATGGAGGTGGGGGAGCTTCTTCCTGAGTGCTGGGATTGGCTCATCTTCTCTGCCCTAGTAGCATGGGATGGCCGCGGGGGAGCTTCCTTCCAGATGCTGGGACCAGCTCAGCTTCTCTCTCTTGATATAATCTTTTATGATCATTCTATTAATATATTAATCTATTTTTATAAAATCAAAAATAGTAGTCCCTGACCTCTTTCAAAATAGGCTTAGTCATCATTCTTCAGGACATTCGGTCTAATTGGGGAGGCATGATTTCATTATCATATTTTGCATGACATATTATGCATTATTCTCATAAATGTTCACCTGACCTTTCACATTTTAAATTTATCAGTTGTAAAGTGATCATAGCCACTTCAGTTTTTGTCATCTAATAGTTTTGATTTCCTCCAATATTTGCTTGATGTTTAACTCAGTTTTAGGGCAGGGTTTGTGTCTTTGACAATGAAGAATCTCAGGAGCTCCATAGTTAAAAAAACAAAAAACAGATACTTTAAACAATTGGCACTTTTAAAACACAAGCCCTTGGATTCAGGCATTTGATGACAACACTAGGCTGAGTAAAGATTTGAACTTCAGTGAGAAAATGGATGGCTTCATGATACTACTAACCCAAGATAAGTAGGAACAAGAATCAATTACATTGGGCAATTCCAATTGAGATCCCAACAGCATACTTCATGGACCTTGAGAAAACAATCCAAAAATTCATTTGGAACAAGAAGAGACCCAGAATAGCAAAAGCAATTCTAGGTAATAGAGACATGTC